CTTTCTTTCTTTTTTTTTTTTTTTTTGTGAGAAAGATCAGCCCTGAGCTAACATCCAATGCCAATCCTCCTCTTTTTGCTGAGGAAGATTGGCCCTGGGCTAACATCCGTGCCCATCTTCCTCCACTTTATATGGGATGCCGCCACTGCTTGGCTTGACAAGTGGTACATTGGTCCGCGCCCGGGGTCTGAACCTGTGAACCCCGAGCCGAGCCGTCGAAGCAGAGCACGCACACTTAACTGCTACGCCACCAGGCCGGCTCCCCTTTCTTTATTTTTTTAACAGGTCACTACCTAATAATTAAAGGAAATTAGAAATGAAAATTTGAAAGGAGAAAAATTATCCAGTCTCACCTCCTGGAGATAACCATTTTTATCATTTTAATATATTGCTTTCAAGTCCCTTTTCTATATATAGATTTTGTTTTAAGGAACATAATTGTGCCCTGTTTTTGTAGACTGCTTTTTATTGAACACTTTAATGTGAGTTTTTCCCACATTAACTTTTTAAGAGACGTAATTTTTAATGGCCTCATGTTTCTTTATGAAATTTATTTTTAGCCCAAAATCTACTGAGTTGTAAGAGTTTTTGAGGTCTGTCTCCATATCTGAAATACCTGGTGAACTTTTAAAAAATATTTTTTGTTGTGAAATATAACAGCCAGATAGAAATGTTCATAAAATGTAAATGTTCAGCTTATTTGTGACAAGACGTAGAGTATACTCAGCATTCTGCAGACACCCCAAATGACGCACTGCTTCCTGGCCATAGCTCTCTCCCTTCCCTCATCCTTAACCTCTACCCTGACTCTTAGGGCTTCACTTCCTTGCTTGCTTATAGGTTTACTATCCAATTAAGTATCCACCAACAATAAAGTTTAGTTTGGGTGGGTTTGGATTTTCCGCAAACCGTATTGTATATGATATCTTCTGTTGCGCCTGCCCCTTTTGCTTCATGGCCCACCTTGCAGATTCATCGGCCTGGCGTGGCGTTCTGTGGGATGACTACACCACAGTTTATTTATCCATCCCACTGTTGGTGACCATTAGGGTTTCTCCAGCTATGTAGACACCTACCCGCAAACATCTTGTATATATTTCTTGGTGTGTATAAGCACTCATTTCTGTGGTGAATGTATCTGGGAGTAGCATTTCCAGGTCATTGGGCATGTGTTAATGTATCTTCAGTTTTACTTAATATTGCCAAACTTTTTCCAGAGTGGTTCCACCAACTTGCACCTGCATAGGCAGTGAATAAAAGCCCCTGTTGCTCACATCTTTGCTGATGCTTTGTCAGACTTTCAGTTTTTTGTTAGTCTGGTTAATTGTGATTATGATTTTAAATTGTATTTTCTTTTAGACTAATGAAGATGAGTAACTCTTCCTCCCCTCCTCTCTCTCCCTTCCTGCCATTTAGATTTCTTCTTTTATGAAATGCTTGTTTGCGTAAAATGCCATTTTTTTTGTCTGGTTGTGTGTCTTTTTCTTATTGAGTTGTAGTAGTTCTTTATATGTTCTAGATATGAGCCCCTTGTTGGTTATGTGGTGTGGCGGATATCTTTTCCCACCTGGCAGCTTGCCTTTTCACTTTCTTAATGGTGTCTTCTGATGACCAGAAGTTCTTGATTTTTAATGTAATACAATTTGTTGATTTTTTTCCCTTTATAGCTAGTGTTTTTTTGTGTTTTGCCTGGTGGAGTCTTCCAGTGAAAACTTGGAGTTGCAAAGTGTCGGTTGTCACTAAGAACATGAGTCTGTTATGTCAAAGGTGGAATTTGTCGAGATTGGTACTGAATGTGTCCTGGTGCCTGTGGATGGAGAGCTCGGAGCTGAGAGACCTTCTGTGAAGTAGCTCAGGCTTCTCCATAGGGAGATCACCTCTCTGAGGAAGGACTGGTTCAGGACACTTGAGTAACCATACACCCACCTCTGCCCCACCTGATGGGCTGTGCCCATTTCTCCCTTATTTGTTCAGTGTAGCCCCTGAGGTCCATGGAGTGTCATGTAGAAGACAGTGCCAGGGTCCTGAACAAACAGGTGTGACTGTCATGACAAGAACTGGAATTAACATTTACTTATAACCGCAACAGGTTGTCCTATATAATCCTCACCGTTCTTCAGATTTGATCAAAGAAGGTAAGGGCCATTCTGATGCCAGTTCTATCTGGAAGTCTTTTACTTTATTTTTGATTTTTAGTATTAATCATCTCTTGATCTGCTGTTCTTCATTAACTGCCTTCAGTTTTCCCTTCCTCTTATATTTTTCTTTGACTTGTGTTTTGTTTTTGTTTTTTTTAATAGTTGGTAACAAAATGTACTGACAAATGTGGCTGTGGTGGAAGGAGCCTGCACTCTCTCCAGTGCCTGCTGACCCCCCTCCCCCCATGCAGTAGCCAATGGCTCTTATGCTTTTGGGGGTCATAGACTACCTTGAAAATCTGATGAAAATTGTGGAGGGAGGAGACTCTTAGTCTTATTTCTGTTGCCCCCAAAGATCCCTGAACTCTCCCTTAAAAGCTGCTGAAACAGACCTCCTAGTCCAGTGAAGAAGGAACTCGGGGACAGCTGCAGTGGGGGGAGATCCTGGGATGGCTTTCCTTCAGTGAAGAGCATTCTCCTGTGCGGTGGCCTATTGACATGCTAGAACGGTGTTCCTTTCTGACATCTCTCCCCAGTTAGTGCTCATGAGGGGCTCTGTGTTTTAGAATCAGTGGTCTTGGACACAGGGATTTTGGGCACAGGATGCTCCAGCCGTTAGACCCTTCCTCAGACCTCTGCATCAAAGCTCCTTGTGCCGACTGGTTTTCAATAACCTGTGCTTCCAGCTGAAATGAAGCTCCAGGCAGGAATAGCAGGCAGGACCTGCATCTTGGGATGCTCTTCCCCAGCCACAGGTGTGTTAGATGGTGTCACGTTCCAGGGGCTAGGGCCACACAGGCACTTCACTGTAGAAAGAGAGGGTGGATCCTGGTTCTAAACAAATGCGTTTCTACCTGTGTCTGGGAAGGAGAGAGCATCTCTTTTTTCTGTTTGTTTCTTTGTTTTAATGTATTATACTCTTCTCTTTCCCCTTATTTGTATGATTTCTTAATAGTCCCTTAACTATCTCCCATCCTGCAGGCCACTGAAAAATGAATCTTCTCAAAGCTTAACTTTGTGCCTGTCACCTTGCACTTGGACACTTCCAGTGGCCCCTCATCTTCTCCAGGACAAGCTCTAACCTTTCAGCTCCCCATTCAGGCTCCTCCCAGTCGTGTCCCCCACTGGCCTGCCCCGCTCTGTCTCAGCTCCGCAGCCGCTCTGAGCTGCTCACTGGATGCTACACTAGCCCTGGGCTTCCCCATGTGTTCAGCTCCTGTCTCCCCTCGCAGCACAGGCCCGATGTCGGCTCTTATCAAGCACGTCCCAACGCTTACCAGCCAGAAATAAGCATTGCCTCTGCGAATGCCTTCTTTTATTTATTTACTTATTTTTTGTGAGGAGGATCAGCCCTGAGCTAACATCTGCCAATCCTCCTCTTTGCTGAGGAAGACTGGCCCTGGGCTAACATCCGTGCCCATCTTCCTCCATTTTATATGGGACGCCGCCGCAGCGGAGCGCGCGCACTTAACTGCTTGCGCCACTGGGCCGGCCCCATGAATTCCTTCTTAAGAGCCCCATTTTCCTCTGGAATTTCTGGGAGCTTGAGGGCGAGGAAGCTGAGCTGAAATCCTACCGTCCCCCTCAGCTGTAGATTCACAGTTCTTTTCACTGACTGCTGTTCTCAGAAAACGTGTCATATTGTCCTGTAAGCTACAGTAGGTATTTATATCGGAAAGTGGAATCGTTGGATCATAGGCTTCAACTTTACCAGATAATATCAAGTTATTTTCCCGAGTGCTTATACTGGTTTATCCTCCTACAGCAGTGTAACAGAGTTCCACTTTTCCGTGTCCTTGCTATCCCTTGACATGTCTGACTTTTTAGTTTCTGCCCCTCTTAAAATAATAATTCATGGATTTAATTTGCATGTTCCTGCACTAACGAAGTTGAGCATCACATCTTTTCATGTGTTTATTAGGCATTCACATTTCCTCTCCCATAATCTGTCTTCATTGCTTTTTCATTTCTAGGTACTCTTTATATATTCTGGATATCCTTTGTAGGTTAATAAGTGCCTGTTCTCCTCGGATCCTTCTATCTGTTCCATCACCGCATCTAGGGTGCGGCATTCTTCTTCGTGGGCCTGGTAGCTCACCATGACATCTACTTCCCACCAACAAGGGGTGGGGCGTACTCTTCTCTTTAAAGCTGTGACCTACAGGTTGCACATGTCACTTCTGCTCACATCCCATTGGCCAGAGCTTAGTTCTCTGTCCATGCCAGGGTGCAAAGGAGGCCGAGAAATGTAGCCTGTATTCCACATAGCCATTTACCCAGCTAAAAATTGCAAGAGAACAAACTGGGAGACCATTGATGGCTTGAAAGACTTGGAAGGGTTTAGCCAGAGAAGAGGCCGGAGAAAATATATTTGTCTTCAAATTAATCCTCTCCCAGTACCTTTTTCTGATAAATGTTAATATCTTTCATAATGTATTCAAACCTCACTTGAAGGGTTCTTAATAACAATATTACAATTTGCCAAGCCTGCTTTTGTTTTTATTTCAGAAATATATTTATGCTTATCAAAGAAACTATAAAGAGGGAAAAATAGGAAATGAGATGATGCTATAAATACTGAAATAAAATTTATAATGCATTTATCTAATTTTCCAAAAAAAATGTCATGTTCATTATTTTTGCAAAATGTTGTGGAAGACAGAATCCCAGTCACTTAATACTGAGCGAGGCCCCTAACATTTGTTTTTATGAAGTTCGCATTCATTTTAAGCTCAAGTGTACAAGTTAGATGATGTGATTTTAAACTGATAGATGTGGGAGTTTTGTGAGTCTAAGATATTGTGGTTTCTGTCTCTCTCTTCCATACATTAGCTAATGGCACGCACCCTCTGATTTCTCCAGGTACGGCGTAAGTCCTGAGAACATCATCCTGTACGGTCAGAGCATCGGGACCGTGCCCACAGTCGACCTGGCCTCGCGGTACGAGTGCGCAGCCGTGATCCTCCACTCACCTCTGATGTCTGGTTTGCGCGTGGCTTTTCCCGACACCAGGAAAACCTACTGCTTCGATGCGTTCCCCAGGTAAGCTCACACTCGCACAAGCACCGAAGGTGCAGCGACCCGAGCTCAGGTCTGATGCCACCGTTAACCGGGGGACACTGATCAACATTTACCAAATACAGCCACACGTCAGACCCTGCGCTGGCACCTTTGGGGACGTGGAGGTGAGTATGCCACATACACCAGTGAGAGACTTTGTCCTCTGCGCTGGCTCATCTGTGAAAATCTAGATGAGGTATAAAGACTTTGCTCTACTGATATCCAGGATTAATTGATTCAGCTGTATGTGCGGGATGAAGAGGAAAGTCCCCACATATCCTTAAGGAACCTACAGTTCAGTATTCGTTCATTCATTCAGATGGACGTGTATTGTTGAATCACAAAGAGCTAAATGCAAAATGTGTGATGAGGCAGTTAGCAGTGCTCTGCACACTTGTAAAAACTGCAAGCATCTCCAATGGTGAAATTTCTCTTACTTTTTCAGTCAGACAGTACAGGTAAGGGAAGGGGTGAAGTGAGCTACTTGCAAGCCAATCATGTGCTTTGGTAACTGGCCACAGGGGCAGTGTAAGTGACAGCTCCCTCGCAGTCCCAGACCCTGAGAGCCACTCATTTCATCCTGCCCTTCCACTGCTAGCAGGACTTCCTCCCCTGCAGAGGGGCCTGTGCTCACCACAGGAGGTTTGGGAACCAGAGCCCACGGCTGAGTCCTCTCCTGCCAGCCATCCTAGAGGTGGCAAAGCTACTGCCAACCCCGCCCCTGCTGTTTTCTAGTTCCCACTAATGGAAGGAGGAGAAATGATTCTCTGTGCTATAAATGCAATGCAACAAGCACATTGGGTTCTTGAATACTTCTGTTTGAAAATGTTACTTGTTATTTTTTTAATCTAAGTTGAGGAAAGTATTTTCAATTGAAGCTCTTGGCCCCTAAACTTCCCATAGTATGTTGCTGAAGCGGGCTGAGCTGGTTGCAGCAGGACTGGCTGGCTCATATTGCCATTCTGTAGACAATGCCTCAGCAGAAATAATGTACAGTTTTAGGGTTTGTTTTTTTTTTTTTTAGAGTTTTTCTCTCTTTTATTTTATTTATTTATTTATTCATTTTTATTTATTTATTTTTCCCCCAAAGCGCCAGTAGATAGCTGTATGTCATAGCTGCACATCCCTCTAGTTGCTGTATGTGGGATGCAGCCTCAGCATGGCCAGAGAAGCAGTGCGTCGGTGCGCGCCCGGGATCCGAACCCGGGCCGCCAGCAGTGGAGCGCGCGCACTTAACCGCTAAGCCACGGGGCCGGCCCCAGTTTTAGGGTTTTGATGGACCCATTAATTGCAGTCATTCTGCTATTGCTGGGGCGGGGAAGAACATCATTTGGTTACATAAACATCTGTTCCGCAGACTGTCTCATTTCCCAAGAAGAGACCTTCTGTTAGCAGCCTGGATGGACTTCAGTTCTGTGCGGGCTGCACCAGGGTTCAGGGAAATCCAGCTTCATGGGAAAGTTGAGCAAGCTGTACATTTCTAGTGGTGTGGCTGAGAATGCTAAATAGGGCCGATGTGCACCTCAAACGTGGCCTTATTCGTGCCAAATTGGTAATGAGAGGCCAGGGTGTTGAAAAGGAGAGGTTTAGCATGTTTGTGGGAAGCAATGCGGGGAGTTACCCTGGCAACAGAATGAATAGGTTTCCTGACTCTTAAATTAGCATCACCTTCAAATACAGCCATGACAACAAACTGTAGCTAATTAGTTAATCGTCCACTAGTAGCTGACCTTCACTGGGCTGGTCTGATGCACCAGGCATCGGGCTGAACGTGCTCACTCGTAGTCTCACTCGATCTTCACAGCAGCCTGAAGAAGTGGGTCAAGTTACAGTCCCCATTCCATAGACTAGGAGACAGACCACAGAGAGTAGAGGTGCCTGATTGAGTTGGTGAGTGGAGGCAGCCAAAAAAGCCCGTTCCTCCTATTCAATAGCATAGTGTTCATCTGACAGATTTCTGACCACTGCCCATCACGTGACTCATCAGTAGTTGAATTTGGTAAAGGTTTTCTTACAGGGTCCATGACCACCAAACGGCACGGTTGTCTCTGTGTTCTTCTCTATAAAGGAAGGTATGTCCACCTTTCCTTTTAATATTAAAAAAATTAAGAAAAGGAGTCTTGACTGTTACTTGGTTTGTAGTGTATTTCCTTTCCCTTTCTTCACATTTAGAATCAGACGGTGTTGTTTCACTTCAGGTACACCTTCCGGGGGAGCACAGCCCCAGGCCATTCTGTCAGTGAATATCTTTTTAATTAAATATAATTGCACTCATAGCATTCTTAGAAGAAGAAGTCACTTTTATAGGGGGAAAGTAGGTTTCTAAACAAGATCCCCACTGTGTGATATTGAATGCTGCCCCAGTGGCTCTGATCGTAGCAGATGACATGGCCAAGAGGTTTTGTTGTCTTCCCTGGATACCTGGAAGGGGCTGTTGGTAGGTCTTTGGGATGTGTAACTGGTGTCAGCTCTTTGTTATCGCCTCAACCTCATACCTGTTAATCATCTCTCTGAGCTTCAGTTCCCTCCTTGGTTGAACCGAGATGGTCTTTCCTCTCATTGTGTCTCATTGAAGATTAAAGGAGGTTTTATATGTAAAGTGCAAAGCACCTGGCTGTGGTAAGAGTTTAATAAATATTAGCTATTACTTTTAACAAAAAGATCCCTACAGATAGTAGCAGTTCGTATCCTTTTCTAACTTTGACTAGAATCAGATTCAGAAAGAGAAGTCAGCTGTAGGAGGGATAGACTGGCAGAGACTCACTCTCCTGATTTGTTTGTCGGTTAAATGGTTGTTGCGTCCCTCAGAGAAGGGGCCTGCACAACAGCCTGGCCAGGCTGAAGGCCTTCTGCATTCCTCTTGGGGAAATGCTTTCAGAACCTGCAGCACATTCTTCTGAAGATCCTCAAATAGCCATCCTTCGAGGGTAGATTTGATTTTTGTAAACAGTCAGAAATCATTTGGAATCAAATCTAGATATTACATTAAGTTTTCAAGCTCAGTAATACAGTTTTTATCACAAATGAGGCATTAGCTTTTATGAAGTGAGGTTCATGAGGATCTTGTTGATTGATTCTGAAGCTGGCTCTCAGAGAAGGGTCCTGACACTTGAGAAGCCCTGGAGTGAGTGTCCAGCTTCCAGAGAGACGGTCATTCAGATAGGTTAAGTCCTGTTTGCTTTTTTAAAAATCCCTCTCTCAAAAACATATGTCAGAAATATTGCTGGATTGTTAGTCTGATGCTTTTGAAGAGTTCTGTTTTCAATAAACTACTTTCCAGAGACACAATGGCTAAATGCAATGCAGTATTCTCAGCTAGATCCTGGAACAGAAAAAGGACCTTGGTGGAAAAGCTAATGAAATCTAAATAAAGTCTGGAGTTTAGTTAACCGCAGCGTCCCGATGCTGGTTTCTTGGTTTTGACAAAGGTACAGTGGTGATGTGCATGTTACCCTTATGGGAAATGGATAAGGCATCTATAGGAACTCTGTATTATCTTTGCATCTTTCCTGTAAATCCAAAATTATTCCAAAATGAAAAGTTTATTTTTTAAAAAAAGAATTACTAGAAAAGTGAGAGGAAAAACCCCACAGTTTTACCTCCCTTGCCCGTGGGTGCTGATTCAGTTACATTTAGGGTGATGTATGTTATCTGTGGGCGTAACTGAAGGAGTCCTTTTTCTCCCCCTCCCCCCTGTCTGTTTTGCAGTATTGACAAGATATCTAAAGTCACCTCTCCTGTGCTGGTCATTCATGGGACAGAGGACGAGGTCATCGATTTCTCACATGGCCTGGCGATGTATGAGCGCTGTCCCCGCGCCGTGGAGCCCCTCTGGGTTGAAGGGGCCGGGCATAATGACATAGAGCTTTATGCACAGTACCTAGAAAGACTAAAACAGTTCATATCTCATGAACTTCCTAATTCCTGAAGAAGACAACTTGATCTTATCTCATTTACTGTGAACACAAGAGGCCTCTGTTTTGCACATGCGTTAACTGGATAGCTGTACTGGTGTGATCACCACGAGGAAGTGCCCGGCTTCAGGGTGTTCTAATCAAGAGCTGAGGAAATCTCAGTCTTTCGTATCTAGAGGTCGTTCCACTAACTCACCCGTGTTAAACTGAACAGGCGTCATTTCCAGCTTCCTCTCCTTGCAGGCATGGGGACAAGAGCTGCTTGTGGGACAGTCTCCTCCTGCTATGTAAAGGATGCTCACGTTGGTTTCTCTGTCTTCCGCCTTATCCATGACTCATGTATGCAGGACTGGAGCCTCTCTCTACCAGCGTTCTCAGTATTTGATATGCAGCTCTCTCTCAGCCACTGGATTTATGGGCTCAATCCATTTGTGAAGCTGTGATAGTGTAACTGGAAAACTATTGTGATGAAAATTCTTTTGTTAATTTTCCTTAACATGCCGATCTTTCCCCCAAACAAATCAGTTGAAGGGTAATTTACTAAAACTGTCATGGACAGCCTCATCAGCTGGAACCGTATAAATATAACTGGAGTATTCTTAAACAAAAGGAAACTGGGTTTTTTTTTTTAAGTGTAAATTTATTACTAGTCAACAGAGTTTTAATATTTTGATTGTCTGGTTGATCTAACAAAAAGCCTAGCTGACTTTCTTTCTGTAAAGTCCTCTTGTAGGCTATTTTAAAGTCCTGTACATATTTGCAGTTCCATTGTGCATAGATTCTTAATGGGTAATTTTCTTTGGTCAGGCTACAAGAACAAACTGCGGACTCCTTGTTTGTAATGTAAATGATTGAATACATTTTGTTAATATGTTTTTATTCCTATGTTTTGCTATTAAAAAATTTTATAACATTTCCAAGACAAAAAATTACAAGTTTATGCTTTGAAGAATTTATGTAATTAAAATTTCACTAAACTAATCTTTTTAGTTTAGGAGTTATTTGGGTTTTGACACTGGAGTTGCGCCAAATAAGCATCAGAAATGTGAGATGCTTAAAATTGCTACGCTCGTCATGTTGATTGGGGGTTTGGGCTTGAGGGTTCTTTGGTTATATTTAAAATTTTTTTTTCAAATTTAAAAGCCTTAAATGTACTGTAAGCCTCAGATGGTTGTACAGCTGGACTGCGTTTGACTGTCAGCTTGTGCACTGTTGCCTGGATGCGGCACAGCGCTGGGTCATGGAATAAAGGATGCATGGACCAGAATGTGTGGGCTCGTGCAGTCTTTTCCTCCATCTTTCCATCCGAGAAAATAGCGAATAAGAAAACAATATTTTGTCTTGTTTTAAGAAACCCTTGGAGCTTACAAGCTTCACTGCCTTTCTCAAGGTATGTGCATTTATTTTGTAAGAGACCTTGGATTACTTTCGGAAGAAGCCAAGATCCAAACCATGTAGCAGTAAAGTGCAGATAGAATCCGAGTAGAGTATGCGGTGGATTCTGGCTATGAAACAAGAGAAATGACGGCAATCTCATTGTGACCTTGCTAGGAGGGAGAAGAGTGCCTTTGTCTTTGGAAAACCTGAGTCAGGTGTGTTCCAGAGTCTTTTCAGTCCCTTGACCACTGACCAGAAAAAGAGCAAGAGGAAATGGTAGAGGGGAAGGCATAAGGACAGGGGCGAGCTCACGGAACGTGTGTTCAGCACATTGCAGGCTGCTTCCTGGTCTTGGATCAGTACCCAGAATGAGGGCCCTTGGGAGGGTGGGCCTGGCTCACCTGAGGGGTCATCAGCAAGGCCCCAGAGGGGATACTGTCCCAGAAGTCCAGGACACCTAGAAGGGAAAGAAGGACAACCAACAGCCTGCCTTTGGGTCTTGAGAGCAGCTAACCCGGGTTTACAGAGACCTGATTTCTGACCCGGTTTGTCTGCTGCTTGCATATTCTGTAAGCATTTCCCCGTTTTTTTCCTGCTGAACTTCCTTTTGTCGCCTGGCTTTCAGCAGTGTTAATGGGAAACCATAATAAGATTCACAGTAACAGAAGCTGAGGTGGCAACGCCCTTTCAGTGCACTGTTTTATAACATTTGTGGTTTATATGCATTGGGAGCAGCTCGTGTTTCTGACTCCTTTCCCAAAATCGAGGAGGGGGTTTCATCTACTCTTTGCCAGAGTTTGGCACAGGGACAGGCTTCCCCTGAGGATGATGCGTGTGGTGACAGTGGGAATCCCAAGAGAGACCCCATTCACAACAGTAGCAGATGCAAAACACATTTAGTAATGAACTTAAAAGGTCTGCTCACATCTGTTTTCTGCTCTAAGGTGGACTCAGAATGTGGACCAACTCTCCCAGTGAGAAAAAACTAGCACTACTGAATAAAATGGAGAAGCTTCTTAAACAGATGCATGAACTGGTAAGAAGATAAAGACTGTGCAGTAAATGCCAAGTAAAGATGAGAACCAAGAGGGAAGAGGAGCGCTGAAACCAGTTTTCTCCTGGTGGGAACTTGCTGAGCCAGGTTGACCTGAACATTGGTCTCCAGTCTGGTGGGGCTTGGGGACAGTAAACAACACTTCAAGTGCCCTCCACGGGGAGACTCCTTGGAAACTGCCCTCTTTTGGGCGAAAATCATATGATCATCTCAGTAGACACAGACAAAACGTGATGGAATTCAGTGTCCCACTCATGACTAAAAATGAGACAAAACTCTTGTCAAACTAGGAATAGAGGAAAACACACAGAGAGATTATCTCAAAACAGCCACCAAGAAGCATTATACCGAGTGTGGTAGAACAGTGAAAGCGCCATTCTTCTTTAGATTGGGAGTTAGCCGTAATATCCACTGGCCTCACTTCTCAGAATCCACGAAAGACCCTAGCAAGTGCGGTAGCATCAAAAAACTGGGTAGAAAAAAGTATAAGATGGGGGAAAAAAAGAGAATGAAAATATGTTCTAAAACCAGATTATTGTGGTTGTGCAACTCACTAAACTTACAGAAATCATTCAAATCTACACTTAAAGGGATAGATTTTAGGATATGTACATTATACCTTAATAAAAATTTTTAAAAGAAATGGGAAGTAAATAGAACTATTATTCTCAGATTATGATTGTGTAGAACACCTGAAGATATCTACAAGTTAGTAGATGCAATAAGAAATCTTATTTCTATAAACCAATAAAAATGTTTAAAATTCAACTAAAAAAATATCATTTACAATAGCATTGAAAAATATTAAGTACCAGGAAATAATCCAACACACCATGTACAAGGCACATTCTGGGAGAAAATTATAAAACTTTTTTGAAAGACATTAACGAAGACTTAAATTAATGAGAGTTTATAGGTAAGAAGGCTTATTTTTAATATATCCTTCCAAAATAGACCTATTTTGGAATATTATGGGTTAATATGATTCTAATAAAAATCCCAGCAGTGTTTTTTGTGAAACCTGACAGGGTGATCCTAAAATTCGTATGGGAGAACAAAGGGCCAAGAATAGCCAGGGCACCTGAATGTGGAGAGACATGCTTTACCAGATATGAAGAATTCTAGGTGAGAAGTCTCAAGACTGAAAAGGCTCAGTCCCTCCAGATTCTAGAGTCTAGAAAGCCTTTCTTGACCCTAGACTCTAGGTTAAATGCTCCTCCCAGTGCTGCTTCAGTATTCTCTACTCGCCTGAGCACTGCCATTATCACTACTGCTTGAAACCGTAAAGGAATGAATATACTTCTAGATTTGATGTATTAAAAATATAAAATTTTCATAGTAAAAAAATAGCATAATCTAGTGACAAGCGGTGGAACATTATAAGGCATATGACAGATAATGTACAAATATACTTAGTAATCAAATGATGAGGCACTATCCAGAGCACAAGACATGAAGAAACTACTCGTAAGAGATTATCGTGTGTAATAACTACATGTAGATTCAATCAGATAATTCAATGAATATATCAAATAAATACAGATTTAAATGATAAAATCCCATCATAAATTATGAAGTTGGTATAAAGATTTATTTGAAGAGGTTGTTCAACATTTATTTAAAGTTATTTGAAACATAACTTTACATGAAGAGATTATTGCCCATAATAATCACTTATAGATTTAATCAAATAATGAGTATACCAAATAAATAGATTTAAATAATAAAATGTCATTTTAAATTATAAGTTGGCATAAATATTTAAAGTATAATACCCATTGGTAGTAAAGATGTGGATAAATGGTCACTTTAAAATTGTGCTGCTACTTTTACACACCAAATTGGTTCAAATGTTGTAAAGTATACTTTGAATCAAAAACCTAATTTAGTAATTTGGCTTCTGGGAATTTATTCTTAGGAAATAATGAAGAAAATGAGATGGGCTTATATCACTGTTAGTAAGAGTGAAAACTTGTGAATAAGCTGAGTTTCCAGTAATAGGGATTTAGTCGTTATGATGTCCAGACAATGCGTTACTCTGCAGCCATTGTAAATGATGCTATAGGATAGTATTTAGTGACATGACAAGATGTTTAAGATACATTCTTAGTTGTTCTATGATAAAACTGGTTACTAAATAGCTCCTGTGATATGATTCCCCTCTTCCCCCGTCCCTCCTCACATTCCAACCTAGACGAAGAGCTGAACGTGCACCCAGATGTTAACAGATGTACATCTCTGCTGTTGAGGTTTAATTGTATTGTCAATAAGTCTTTAGGTAGAGGAAAGCCCAAATCCATACTTCAGGATTCACATGAAGTGGGTACGACACGGTATCAGTAAGATCTTTTGTTGCTCTAATTTGTTCTGGAACCCATTGGATGGCACTACTTCACTGCCTATGAGAATGCTGCTTTTACTAGAGAAAACACACGACCCTGGGTGGGTCTCATCTCGTCATGTGTGAGGGTCACTAAGCCGTAGATAAAGTTCATGTAAACATTATTACATCCAATGTTATCCAGCTCTGACGCCACCTCCTCCCTGAGGCCTTTCCCACCAGGATTTCCACAGAGAAGACACAGTCCTTCCTGCGGGAACTTGCCCAGCTGGGCGGGTTCCATGGCAGAGGGCCCAGGACACAGCCCTGGAACAAGGAGGCCTGGCCTAGCCCTGTCCTATTCCTTCCCAGCCAGGGGAAAATATACATAACATAAAATTGACCTTTTTAACCAATTTTAGGTGTACATTTCACCGGAGTTAAGTACATTTACATTATTGTGCAACTCTCACCATCCATCTCCAGAACTTTTTCATCATCCCAAACCGAAACTCTGTACCCATTAAACACTAATTCCTCATTCCCCGTCCCTCAGCCCCTGGCACCCACCGTTCTCCTTTCTGTCCTCTGTGAATTTGAGCACTATGAATATGACCTCATATAAATGAAATCATACAGTATTTGTCCTTTTGTGACTGGCTTATCTCACTTAGCATAATGTCTTCAAGGTTCATCCATGTTGTAACATTTCATTCCCTTTTAAGGCTGAATGATTTTGCATTATATGTATATGTTACATTTTGTTCATCCATTCATCCATTGATGGACGTTTGAGTTGTTTCCACCTTTTGGCTATTGTGAATGATGCTGCTGTGAATATGGGTGTGCAAATACCTGTTGGAGACACTGCTTTCAATTCTTTTGAGTATATACCCAGAAGTGGAATTACTGAGTCATATGGTAATTCTACTTTTAATTTTTGGAAGAAACACCATATTTGATCTGCTGTTCTTAACAGGACTGTTGGGGTCTGTGACCCCTTTGAAATCACATGCCGTGCTTTGGATGTCTGTACCTGTAGGCATTTTTCTAGGGAGGACACAGTTTCAGCAGATTCTCAAAGGTATCAGTGATTCTGAAAGATTAAAATCACTGAACTGAATAGTATCTACGGGTTCCTTTAAAACCAATATTTTTGGATTCTGAGAACTGCGAGTACAGCTTTTGGAGAGGTTAAGGAGCTCAAATTTATCTTGCAGGCAAACCCAGGGAGGGGCATGGGTTTTTCAGAGCTCTCTGCATAAGGAGGGGATTTCTGGACGTGCAGGAGTCCAGTGTAGAAACGTCTGCAGGCCCAGAAGAGGACGAGACAGTGGGAGAATCCTGGGCATGGAGACAACAGGCCTAGAAGTGAGTTTTTGTGCCATGGTAACTGTGTGACCTTGGGCAATTCTCTCAACCGCTCTAAGCCTGTTCCTTGTCTCTAAACTGTTGCTAATAACAACTGCACAGTCGTGGGCGGATCAGATGAAATTCTGTAGATAGAAATGCTTTG